GAACCTGCAGCAGGCAGCCTGCTCTCACCCCGCACACAGATCTGGGGGTCCACATGCCCCCCATGCCTCCCCCAGGGGTGCACGCAGTGGCGGTGATCCATCCCCCAGCCCATGCCCCCCGGATGAGCTGCTCATGGCTCCGCCCTGCACCCCCGCCCCAGCTGAGCAGCGCTGGCCCCTGCCTCATTCCCTCCCTCACTGTGGGGGCCTCAATCTGCCCTCTTCTCTCCTCTCACACACCTTCCCCCCACAGACTTCCTATCCAGATGCTGGTGTCCAAGCCGCCAGGCTGCATTCCTGGCTGTGTGCATGCACATAGCATTTAATGCTTAGCAAGTGATATAAGCCATGGGCACTCAACCCCTGGCCTGCAGGCTAGATTTGGCTCACAGAGTCACATTATCTGCCTCATCAGGTTTCTCATGGGTCCAATAATTTGGCAGTGGGGCCAGGGTGGCAGTATTAGCTGCTGCTCCCTTGCTGGCAAACTTCTGGACCCATGGGGAGCCCAGTGGGCTCTGAAAACATGGCCCTGCATACTAGGTTGGGTGCACACAGCCAAATCTGGGTACACGAGGCCCAATCCTATGAGGGATCTGACTCACGGACTGGCCCCAAACTACTCATCCGGCCCACAGAGCTGAAAGGTTAAGCACCACTGATGTAAACTGCTTTTCACAAGTGGCCACTACCTGTATTTTCCTCAGTTTCTGAGCTAAGGAACTTGAGAGGGTTAGATCCTGATTTACAGTTGAACCACTGCAATTACAGTCCATGAGAGCTGTGTACTGAATTAACAAATCACTGTTAACATTCTGATTTCTCTGACAAAAATCAAGCCATAAGAAGTCTCTAATAAGAAATGCCAAATAGCATCCATTTGTATGTCTATGCATTTCCAAGACCCATCTGTAAAGCAGGAATAATATCAATCCTTCTGTTACGAAGACAACACTAATGTTGTGAAACATTCAGATGCTACACTGATGAACATCTCAGAAAAGCCCAGGAGAAAATTGATAATCCTGCATTACAACCAGGATTTGAATGATGTATAATAAATAATGCATGGGGCCACACATGCTAAAATACAAGATATTGAATAGCAGTTCATTCAGTGAGCTGCTGAACTGAATACAGCAGGGGTACCATGGAAAAAATAGTATGTGATCTTGTCATTAGAACCTGTATATTGAATGTACATGTACAAGAGGGGGAAGGAATTGCTACTTATGTGATTTTTCCTAATTTTGAGTGCTTGACTGTCTACCCATAACATTCTTTTAAGGCACTGTTTGCTAGTTATTACAGAATAAGTTTTGCATATATTCTAAATCCTAGACAACCACTCAAGTATTTATTTGTGAACAAGAAAGAAATTGAGGAGTATATACACTGCAGTGCAAAATCTATATAAGGTTCTTCAAAGGATGTAGCTATTATTGGATTCTGTGATCACACAATACCATTATAAAACCAAATGCAACAAAGGTTCTGCTTGACTGTCTAATGCTCAGGTGGCAGCTTAATACAGAAAGTCTACCTGAAGCAGTAACGTAACTTGCAATGAATATCCTTCACTTCATGTCAGATCCTAGTTCAGTTTTTCTATTGAAGGTACATGTGGTAACTGATAATTTATTAATAACATTCATGCTGTATGGCATTACCATTGAGAACTCCTGGTGACCCCTTAATATTGCTGCTATGAATCTACAAAGCCCAACGCAGCTTTTTCCAGGTTGATCCTATGTGACATTTTCACCATTATAATTTTCTTAAATTAATGCATCCCTTGTAGCTACCATTTTGTACTTAGTTATAATGACAAAGGCAACAAAAGTTCCCTCATAAAGAAATCATTACATTTAAAACTGTTTTTATCTTAGAAACACAAACACTGTAAAGAGTTAGGATAAAATCACTTTGTTTTAAAATTCTTCTCCACTTGAAAGAAAGCAACTGAGATTACAGCAATTCAGTAGAAGCAATTTGAAATATTCCAGATTTACCTTCCACATGCTTTTTATACTGCTGGCCCTTCTGATGTTTATTCAAGTACAAGTGAAAAGTTGAGCTTTAATTATTTTTGAAGAATTATATGCTGGTTATGTCTACTAAACCAAAGGACACATTTAATGCATTATCCCAGGACTTAGTTTGCCCCCTTTCCCCAACATCAAACTGGAATTGCACATGTCTCTACAGAGTCCACAATAAGGAAAAAACTCACCATTCTAACTACTTCAGGGTAAGTCTGCTCTGTCAAACAGCCTCTGCTTATTGTGATGTAGTCCACCAGTTCATTAAGAGTAGAGCGCTTGTATTCTTTCATTTTAAGGTCTGATAGTGTGTCCATGAAGTCAAAAATGACACAACACTGTTGAAGTTTCTTTAGGAACAGTTCAGGCTGCTCTGAAGATGGAACGTCTATGGAACAAGAAAAGAAGTCTTCGTAAGTCTGTTATCTTTTTACATGAAACGCTAATTCCTTTTGAAGTGCACTTTCAAAGGAAAGCAGTATCGGTACAGTTTTCATAAAACACTGCTCAAATCATCAACAACGTCGCTGTAGGAATTTCCCTAATATTTAATAGTTCGTATCTTGGATACTGAATTTTAACAGTATTATTTATTCACCTGCTACTAAAAAATAAGATTAATCAGAAGAAGGCAAGACTTACAGAAGAATACAAATTCATGCACATAAACTCTCTCAGTGGGTTTCAACCTTTTTTCATTTGCAGACCCCTTTGGAAATTTCAAATGGAGGTGCAGACCCCTCTGAATTGTAAGTGTGGGTATTCACACACTTCTGATTGATCATACTCATCTTTTGTAGACCCCTTAGACACACTAAGTAAGGAAAAGCAGTCAGAAATATTACAGTCTTAAATGATGAATTAATCTTAATATTACACAAAAAATGCAGTGCCATACTAAAATCCCATAAAAATTAATCTACCGATTCTGTTTTTCCAAACATTTCCACAGATTTCATTATTTCCATGTTGGCAGTTTCTGTAATAAAATTGGTTGTAATTTTGCCAGTAGTCAGTGAAGTTTTCGGCTATAGAAGCCCACAAAAGCAGTGGGATACATTGCCCTTTAGTGTATGCTATCTGGTGTCTGTATAACCAGCCATTATTTTCCCCAGTGCTGTAAAGTATTCTTGGGTGGTAATGTAGAAAGTGTAATTGCTGCTTTTCTTTCTCTTGCTAGTCTTCCTGGGTGAGGGGCTTAGCAAAACTACATTAAGTAAAAGCAGACTAAAAGGCACTATCAGATATGTTTGAACAGTTTCATCTTACTTAGAAGGATGGGTAGATAATCTTCTATTCTATCAACAGAACAGGTAGAAAACTAGATTTATTTTGTTTTCATGTACACAGGGGCCAACAGTGATGGACAACTCATTGAAAGGAATCTTGATTTTTATTACATTTAAGACACCAGGCAACTGCAAAACTTCTCCCACTCCAACTCCTAAGTCTTTATTAAGAAATGGTTGCTTTGCATCAGCATGAATTAGCCAAATGGTCTTCAAAGAAGACTACAAAATGTTCACATTTATCTTATTCATTTGTTAAACTAGAAACAGAATAATATTCCACGCACGTTTGCAATGTATACTATTAATAATCCACAAAAAAATCAATTACATCTATACTTTCCTCTTTCAGTGCAAGTTGTGTATTCTTTTATATACATTTCAAATTTCTTGAACTTGACATGCATTAGTGCACATGAGGACAGCGTTTGACCAGCTGTTTATCATCAGGGCGTGGTAATCATCCAGTTAAAGAAAACTGGAGATAATAGGGATTTGCTGACTAACACAGAGTAGATAAAAACCAATTTTTTTTCTAAAAAAGAATTTAAACAATCAGATTTTTTTAAAGTTTAATTGTAGTTTTGTATTTTTTGTTATGATACTTTACAAAAATTAACCTATATAACAGTAGTTTTAATTTAAGATATGTTAGAGCTCAAAGATATCATCATGGAATAGGAATTATAACTTCTAATTATATATTATGAGACAATATAGTCATGTAACCTTTGTAGAAAAGGAGCCAGCAGGAGCCTTGAGGACTGAAAACTAAATCCTTTTCCCTCCCCACCCATTCCAGGCTTCCCCCCAGCCCTTCAGGGTTCCCTGCCCCAACACCAGGGCTCCCTCCAACATCAGCAGCTTACTTTTGCCTGCAAGCGCTGTCCCAGGGAGCAGGAAGGGAAGCTGAACCCGTCTGTCCAGCCACTACCACTGCTACTCTTCCCTGAGCCAAGTCCTACCTAGAGAGCTGCGGCAGCACCCAGGCAAGCTGGTTCTCCTTTCGCGCCTGCTCCCTGGGACAGTGCCGGCAGCCAAAAGTAAACCTGGGGGCTGGAGGGGTTAAGCAGGGATCTGGGGTGCTGCAGAAGCAGGCCCGATCCCAGTTGGTGGGGCATGGGGAAGGGGTTGGGGGGCAGCTGCCCAATTGGAGGGGAGCAGAGGAAGCAATGGGCCCCAATCTGAACCAGGGCAGAGAGGGGGGTGGGTGGAGTGTTTACTCTAATGTGTAGCCTAGAGTGCCTACATGTTAGTGTGACAGGAGCCAGGTATCACAGATCAAAGATAAACCTAGCTTGGGGTGGTGCAACTTTAAGCTGCCTAAAGAGTCCTTAAAACTAATTTCATGTGTTAATGTGTGGACAAGCCAGGGGCTAAGAGCTCCAGGAGGCTCCTAAAACTAACATGGAACAAGGCCAATAGACACCTGGCTTTATTCCAGGTCACAAAATTCTTTCATACATTTTGTGAGCTCCGCAAAAGTTGTCTCAGAGCCAGAGAAGAGAGAGATAGGCATCAGCAGTGTTGTGCTAATACTGCAGCTTGTACCCCATCCTAGTCCTGGAGGTTTTGCATAGATGCTACATTGAAGAGGCAACAGAGACTGGTGTCCTACAAAACTCCAGAGAGAAGAACCACCCATCAGTAGGGACCTGCTAAATTTGTGGTGGAAATGGGCTGTGTGGCAGCTCCTCTAATCTTGCAGGCTGCCCCACATGAAAGCTGATTGGCGGAGGGGCCCCACTGCTCACTCCTGATCAGTGGAAAGGTGAAAACAACCATTTTAAATATGGCACCATTATTGCCTCCCCCCTCTGATCGGCTGCCCCCACCAACAGCTCCACTGCTTGGTCTTGACCGGTCAGAAGGCAAAAATGGTCCATATTTAAAACTACAGTTTTTGTCTTCCTACCTATCCGAAGTAAGCAGCAAGGCCCCTCTGCCAATCGGTAGCTGAGGGGCGATGTGGAGGAACCTGCAAGATTAAACGAGCCGCCGCACAGCCCACTTCTGCCGCAAATTTGGTAGGTCCCTACCCACCAGCGTTTCCTGGGAATTATTAGACAGTACTGATCCAAGCTATCCTAGAGCCATTACTTTTCCCTTTTCTAACTTACAAAGCTGTGCCAGCAACCCCCCATGAGGGTCTGATAACAAATCAAAGAATAGCAGTAAAGAGATCTAGCCTCCGGCTAGTGCATTATGATAATCAACAACTTCCATGTACATCACTTCCAGACAAGCTGCCAGTCTGCAATCCTACCGAATGACTGAATGAGGTCAAGGACAGGGGGATGAATGAGATCTGGAGTTATGTAACCACCTTCTTGATCACCTTTCCCAAGAAAAGAGAACTTCAGGATTGGGAATTGGTTGACGGGAGCCCAGAATTTGCTTCTTTTTTCTTTTTTTTTTTCTTTTTTTTTAAATAAAGAGGCTTATATGTGGAATATTTGAGAATTTCTGTAACCCTATCACCTCACTAGCAGACAGTAACTCTCAATCACACGATCTATGGTTGCAGTGACTGTCACGTTGTCTTTGCATTGTGGTAAGCATTGGGACGTTCTAAAACAGTGTATTATGCAAATAACTAGCTGAAACCTGCAAAACATTTGCAATTACATTTTTATTGCAAAAGTATTTCTTTAAATACAGGATTTTTAGTTATCCTTTGACCGAATACTGTAACAGCATCACACAGCCCCTGAACTGCAGAGGACCCCAGTGCTTCCCTCTGAAGGGGTGGCGCCCCCAGGCAGCACCCACCTGCTGGCACTCTGCCCAAGCAGCTCCAAGAAGCACTGCTGCCATGAAGGGAAGCACCAGGGCCCCCTGCCACTCACCCCCCAGCCACAGGAGAGGCAAGCAGGCAAGCTCCCCGGCCCAACCCCCCCCCCCGTCTGGCCACCGGAGGTACACTTATTAAAAAACATGAAAATGTAAAACTATTAAATTACTATTTTTAAGTGACTCTAAAGTCCTAATTGGATGGATATGTATCAAAATTCATTTAGAAGCAAGTTATATAGCTTATCTAAAATTTACAATCATGCTTGTTACAACCTTAACCACATCAAATGTAGTTAAAGGGCATCACAATTACCAAAACTCAAAAGTTTTGTTGATTAAAATTGTGGGCAGAAAATAAAGCAATTTTTTTCAAACAGAAATCTCCCAGGAATCCAGGTGGAATTTCCTGCAAGCCACACTACATATCTGCAAACCACTCTAACCCTGCCATTGCAAGCTTCTCTCTTCTATATACAAGTTATGAAAACTCCTGGATGCATCTCTTCTTTAATAAGAGAAAGACCAATTAAGCAATGAATTAAAGCAGCGATTACTCTTTTAGAAAAAATGAAATGTAATGCAGTTTTTAAATTTATTCTGGGGTTACACGAGGAATGGAATGACACTTAAAACCCATGCTTTTCCAGTTGCCGACATCTGAAAGGCTGCTTGACCAGGTACAAAAATTACACTTTTACTGGTGTAAGTGATCAGAAACTGGTCTATAACCATAACAGAAGAGAAGTTCAGCATACAAAACCAGTCTAGACCTGTAACAGAAGACAGGTTCAGCACACACAGACTGGTTTAAAAATGGTAGAACGGGGTCTATGATTTGCCCCCCAACCTACCAAAGAGTGAATCTGTGTTCTCCTCACTTAAGGTAAAGGTAACGAGGGACTCAGGGAAGCATGATATGCTCAGCATGAGAGGAAAGGGAGCCACAAAAAATGACAAATCAATCTTCTATGTTCTCTTGCATCAACTATTTTGAAAGCTTTCAAGCATCTTTTCCTCATTCCATACCTTAGAGATAAAGAGATTACACAGAGGATCTCTGAACCTCTCTTCACAGACTGAAATCTTGAGTATAACTTACATAATCAAAACTGAATCAGAATAGTGGGAACTGGCAATATAAATTGATATTCAAGTCACTTTATCTTTACAGCTAATGTTACAGGCAGCCTCTCTCTACCAATGTACCTGCAAATCCAGTTTACTGTTTCCATCACAGCCACTAGAAAGAAAACCCTACCACAAATAAAGGATGATCACATTATTGTTTCCACGGCACAAACCG